GCATGGTGAGATCCAGTAAGGGGGATGAGGAAGGCATCGTGATGTAGAGTGTTACAAAGGCGGACAGAATGATAACTAATTCCTCCATAGCTAACTGATGGCAGGGAGGTCATAGTGTGTGGACACGCTGACACAGGGACGATGTCCTTGTGATAGCTCAAGATGGCATCACGCTGGCCACAGCTGAGCACAATTTAAAATATATGAAAGATTCATGCGTGGAATGTTTGTGTAATATTTTTGTACCCCTGACTATAGGTGACTCAAAACGGAAAACAAAAAGACTGTTGTACTCAGGATAGGCACCTGGGAACACTTATTGGGCACAAGGACTGTGACCAACCACCAGCTAAACCGGGCCAGCAGGTCATTGTATTCGGTTGATAGAAAGCTATTAAGCCATGAGCAGAGCCTGTCTTTTATGTGGTTTGGTGTGGAGGGAGTGGGAGAGGAAGAGGTGACATGTGTTCTTCAAGTTACAGCTGCTGGACAACCGCCTTCCTCCTACTGTTAGGAAACCCAGCCTCCTGCCCAGTCAGTTGCCACCTCTTCTACAGCAGGAGGGTGGCTGTGTTCGGGCTTGTCCTCCACAGGAGCCTGTCTGTTTCCAGCCTTACCCCACTTTTCATCGGTGATCTTGGTCACTCTGACACCTTGTCACCTTTCCATCCTGGAGCGTCATACTCCTCGACTGTGCCTTTTGTGTATGGGCATTTCTGTCACGTCAGTTGAGCCTTTCTGTCCCCACCTTCTCAGCCACGCAGGACAGTCGGCCTCATTTGGACACCTTTCCCCTTCTCTTTTCCATTTTACTTCTACAGGTCTGAAGAGACACCTGGTTTATGACGTGCTTGTGTCCAGAGCAGGGAATCTGTAGAGGACTTAGCAGGGGTGCTTACCAGGGTCAGGAGGAGGCAGGATGAGGGTGACCTTAATGGGAACCAGGTTTCTTGGTGATGGCGGTGGTGTGTGTGGGTGCTGAATGTTCTGGAATTTCATAATGAATATGATTTTCATTTAAATATCCACTAAGCACTACTAATATATACGTTAAAATGTAAAATACTTCACATTTTATTGTGTATGACATATCTTAGTCTAAAAGAGCCAATGTGTAGTCACTCTAAAAACATTTTAAAAGCTATTTAAACTAGCAACAATACCAGCTAGCTTGGTACTGGTTTGGGCATGGGGTAGGGTATGGATGCTGTTTTTCTGTGTTCGTTCAGTGCTTCCTTCGTGTTACACTTAGCCCCTTGCTAAGGCCAGGAAAGGCCTTCCTGGCCCTGGTCACACTTCTTCCCATCTTCCAGTTCTCTCCTTCCCTGCCCCAGTTTCTTTATCAGTGTCAGGAGGCTGAAGTGCCTTGAGTGGGGACATTTCTCCAGGCCTGAATTTTACCTGGCTTTTAATTTTCAAAATATGATGGATTTCCCTTTTTTATATTCCATAAGAAAATAATAAAAGAGTCTCGAAGCTGAAGCAGATGGTGCTGTGAGGACCCTAGGGTCTAGGTACCCTGAATACTTGCTACTTGTAGCTGCCCAGGAAGGAACCCCTGGGCCCTCTCACATCTCAGTCCCAGAGCTTTGTGTGTTGAAAGTGGTGTCTATATTCAGCAGGACAGATCCAGCACCTAGCTTTCTAATTACGTAGATGATACTTTTGTTTGTTTAGATGTCCTCATTGGCACAGCACATGAGGTCAAAAGGGACAAGAGTCAAACCTCAGTGTACAAGCTAAGGGCAGAACAGACCCAGAGACCAGCTTTGCATGTCAGCTGTGACTTTGCACTCATGTGCCCCGCTCTGCAGGTGGCACCCACTCAGGAACACACCTCTGTTTCCCCATCCAAAGCTGACCAAAAGGAAGCTGGGACTCCCCACCCCCACCGGAGGAACTGGGTGCCAGCTCTTGTTTTTGCACCAGGGTGGATATTTATTTGACTGTTTCTCACATTTGTGCATTTCTAGGAAGTTAGTAACTATTATGCCTCTTTCACTGTGTGTGTACACAATGTCAGTGTGTTTGATTTCGTGTGGTCTCTAGACACTTAAAAGGTGCTAAGTGACAGCTTGTGGAGTGGGCCAGTTTGAAACTTCAGGCTGAAGTACAGTTCTTGGGCAGACGTTTGTTGACAGTCTTATGTAGTTTCCCCTTTTGCCTTTTTAAAAAAATATGTCTGTACTAATGCATGCATGTTTGTAAATGCATGCATGCAGAAACCAGCGAACAAACCTTGACCATCACTCATTCCTCAGGTGCCATCACCTTGATGTTTACGGCAGGGGGCATTACTATCCTGGAACTCCCTAAATAAGGAAAGCTGGCAGGCTAGTGAGCCCCCGGGACCAGCACTGTCTCCATTGCTCCAACACTGGGATTACAAGTGCTCTACCAAGCCTCTCTTTTTTAAAGTAAGAGTATCAATTGCTTGTTACATAGGTGCAGTAGACATGAGACAAGGAGTTTTTTTTTTTTAATATTAAGTGTGGATTCTGAGGATTGAATTTAGCTCAATTGGTAAAGTGCTTAAGGATCCATCTCTCCAACTGCCCCATCTTGATTTCACTGGTAACCATACTGGTCCTTCCTCCCTAACTCAGCACCTGCGGGCTCTAGCCATTGTGAGATCAGAGTTTCTGCTGTTGGTCCATCGAGGTACACCTGATTGCCCCAAGGGATGTGTGTGTGTGGGGGGGGTGTTAAAGAATAAAGGCATTAGTTCCCAACAGTGGGCCAGAAGTATTTTATGAAAATTGCTGTTTATGAGTTTAACCAGAGATGATGGGAAGGACAGAGAGATGGTTCAGTAGTTAAGAGCACTGACTGCTCTTCCAGAGGATCCAGGTTCAATTCCCAGCACCCAAATGGCAGCTCATAACCGTCTGTAATTCTAGTTCCAGGGGACCCAACACCCATGGTAAAACACCAATGTACATAAAATAAAAGTAAATTAAAAAAAAAAAAGAAAATGAGGCTGGTTAGACACAAGTCTGCCATGAGGGCGGGAAGGAGACAGAGGCCAAGGGCACCACAGTCTGACATGGGTTTGGAAGCCCTGTGGTGTGGAGGCCATTTTCCCAGTGGAGAGATGGAAGCTTAGAGACCCTGCCTTCAAGAGTTTACCTAGCACAATAAGCCGAAGACCCTGGTCCCCCAGCCCTGCCTCAGCCACAGCTGGACCTTTATTCTGCCAGGCAAAGCTTCCTCCTACAGGGTCTCAGAAGTGAAGCTGTTTACAGAGTTCTTGGCTCCCATGCTAACCAGAAGTCACCCAACACCAAATTAGAAGCTTTAGTATTGTAGTAGTTACCTTTTGTTGCTGTGATAAAAACCCCATGACCAGGTACATCTTATGGAAGAAAGGTCTTATTTTGGCTCACGGTTCCAGGAAGAGAATCCATAAAGGCAGGAGGTGGGGTAGGGGAGGCATGGCAGCAGGTGGCTACAGCGGGAAGCTGAGCAATCACCTTTAACTGCAAACAGGAAGCAGATAAAGCAAACTGGAAGTGGAACAACACTATAAACTCTACTTCCTCCATCAAGGCTGCCTCTCCCCGCTCGTTTCCATAAAGTCACTAAACAGCACCACCTGCTGGAGACCGGGTGTTTAGTTATTGAGCCTGTGGGGGACATTTCTCATTCAGAGCCCCCCAGAGAGACTGTCTTGAGTTGTGTTCAGTATACATAAAGTGAAAGGAGCCGTTCTTACCATTCTCACTGCACCCCAGCAGCATTGGCTTTATTCAGTGTCTTGCAGACACCACCATCTCTCTCCAGAAGGATTTTCTTCTTCTTAAACTGAAGTTGTGTCTCTACTAAACACTGGCTTCCCCCAATTATTGTAACTCCAATACCTGGCATCCACCATTCTTCCTTGCTTCCATGAGTCTAGCAACTCTAGGGACTTTCAGTTGAGTGCTGTCGTACTGAATTCCTCCTGTTGTGCCTGTCCTGTTCTACTTACAATAGTGCCCTCAAAGGTCACCATACAACACTGTGTGTCACAGTCCCCCCCCTTTAGACTGCTATGTTGGCCACTCTGTTGTAGTCTTTGATGCTTTAAATCCAGGTCTGAATAGAAAGTACTAGTCACTCCAAATCTCACCATCTCTTACCCTTAGCCATCAGGACCCTGCCGATTCCTGGATTCTGGGTAAAGGCAGGAAGTAAACATGATGGATTGGGGATCAGTTGGAGACTGGGGGGGCTATGTAGGAGCGTCTTGTGGCTTCCTGCTTTGGGAGTGTACCTGCCCCCCTCCCCCCAATGAGTAGCACTGAATCTCTTCCTGCTTGTGTTTGGAGATAAGGGTTCAATCCAGACAAACCAAATCTACACTTGTCCTTAGTGTCCGAGGAATTGGGTGGCTGTCCCAACAAGCATGTTCTGTGCTTTCTTGGGTAGATGGCTGTCATATCAGAGGTGGTATTCAACGCCCCTTAAAAGAGGTACACATTTCCGTCATTTACAGTTTAAGGCATCACATTAGGTCTTTGTGGGGATGTGAAAGGGATGAGTTGCTTAGAAAGTTTTAACTCTCAAATCCTGGTGTGGTGACACACACGTGTCATCCTAGCACCCGGGAGGCAGGCAGAGGCAGGAGAATCGAGAGTTCAAGGCTGCCTTTGGCTACATAGTGAGTTTGAGGCCCAGGGTGACAGAAAGAAGGGAAGCCTCTGAATTGTTCTCTTAATTACCTGGAACCTCCATGCAAATTAGCTCAGAAGTCTTCATCTTGATAACTGGTCCCTGCCTGTCTTGCCTTTCCCTTGTTCTCTCTCCTCCCTGGTGACATCGAGGGCTTCTCTCCCGAGTCCTCTTAGTCTGTGGCTGGGATTAAACTAAAATCTGTTTTTATAATGGCATGAAATCTGATTCTTGGAGAGTCAATAGTAAGTGCCTCTCCCCTGTGTTCGCTGATGCTGGGTGGACTTGCGCTCACAGGGTCTGCCCCGGTGGTTAACCACGGCTCTACTTTTCTGTTCCCCCTCCAGGGGAAGTGGAGGATTCGGATGCAATTGACATTCTGGGACAACTTGATGGACCAGACAGCCCACTTCCTACACTGAAAGGTAAGATAGGGCAGCTGCTATTGTGGCAGTTATGGGTTATCATGGGTGGTTGCTCTGCCCTTGTGACTTGGGGCTGGGCCTGCCTGATTGAGCAGATAGTGGGGTCCCCTGGCCTGGTGCTGCTCCATTGCTGGGCAGGTGAGATCCTTACCTGGAGTCTTTCTCCTCCCAGGAAAGGCTTTGGGGAATGATGAGGCTTGTGGAAGCCGGCAGATGAAGCTTCGGGAAATGCAGCAGGCTGGGAAGGAAGGGGCCTCGGGGTTTCAGAGGTTCTGAGCAGAGACTCCCATCTTGGCCGTGTTAAGTAGCTGCAGACGACCATCTCTCCTCCACATTTTTCTCAATGAAATAGCCGTGTGGCTGTGTCTCAGCAGGTAACACTTAACTGTGCTGCCATCTGAAAGAGGCTTCTGTGTTCCCTTGTGGTGGCTCCTGTCCTTCCTGGAAGTTTGCTGTAGGTACCACGCTCACCTGTCATACCTCATAGGCAGTATATGTAATGTCTTACTGACAAAAAGGGAGACCAACATGGTCTACTTTCTTGAATAAGCAGTGGCTTTTCTCTTCTTAAATAATCCATCATCTTCAATTTGTCCTGACCATATGCTTCTGGATGTGAGCCAACCACTAGAACATGGTTGTCTGTAGATGGAAGTTTCTGTCCCACCCTGTCCTGCAGCCATTCAGTCCCAAATAAACACACAGAGGCTTGTATTAATTATAAACTGTTTGGCCTATCTCTCAGGCTTATTACTAACAACTTAACTCTTACAACTTAAATTAACCCATAATTCTTATCTATGTTTAGCCACGTGGCTTGGTACCTTTTCTCAGTAAGGCATTCTCATCTTGCTTCCTCTACATCTGGCTGGCAACTGCCTCTCTGCCTTCCTCTTTCCAGAATTCTCCTAGTCGGTAGCCCCACCTATACTTCCTGACTGGCTATTGGACAATCAACATTTTATTAAACCAACACAAGTGACAAATCTATCTCACATCAGTTAACCAAATAGGAGCCACGTCCTTAAAGAAAACGGACTCTCCTCTCCCAGAAGCCATCAACTAACTGCCTTATAGCTCTCGGGAGCAGAAGCTCATGAACCCCTTCCCATTCTGCGCAGGAATGCTGTCCAGCTTGATCTTGTGCAGGCAACCACAGCCAATCATGACTACAGCAGTCCTGCTATGTCCAGAGGGCACATTTTTACTCTAGTCGTCCTGACTTCTGGCTCTTACAGTCTTATAGCCACGGTCCCAGAGCCTTATAGAGGAGTGTTATATTGGTCAGGTTCTCCATTGATACAAAATTGGTTACACACACACACACACACACACACACACACACTCCCACACACACACACATACACACACACACACACATACACACATACACACACATACACACAAACACACACACACATACACACATACACACACACACATATACACACACACATACACACACACACACATACACACACACACATAC